GGAAGTTTGTTCTTTTTGAAAGAATTAGAAGAATCTCTAAGCTGGTTCATTGGGTCCTTCTAAGTGGTAATGCACAGAGTCACAGCCAGGACCTTTCAGAGCTGCGTTCGGCAGACATACAGCTCCTGCATATTGTTAATGAGTCCTACATCTCAAGGAGTGGCCCCTGTGTGAGCGCATGAGACTTGATCCATTCCATGGGGGGCACATTTCAGGTGAGAATGAGCACAGTTAGAGAGGAGAGCTGGCTGTGAAAACGTGGAGGGTTTGTGCAGTCAGGGCATGTCCACTAGAGGAGGGGGAAGAGTAGGTACCAGAAAAAGGCTTTTAAAAATAATCCTATTTTGGGCCAAGCATGGTGGCTCATGTCTGTAATCCCAGCACTTTGTAGGGCTGAGGTGGGCGGATCGCCTGAGGTCAAGGGTTCGAGACCAGCCTGGCCAACATGGTGAAACCCCGTCTCTGCTAAAAATACAAAAATTAACCAGACACGATACCATGTGCCTGTAATCCCAGCTACTGGGGAGGCTGAGGCAGGAGAATCGCTTGAACTTGGGAGGCAGAGGTTGCAGTGAGCCAGGATCATGCCATTGCTCTCCAGCCTGGACAACAGAGCAAGACTCTGTCTCAATTAAAAAAAAAAAAGATTCTGTTTCAGAAATATCAGTGAATGCTTAAACTCTGAGTGAAAGTTGCATGAGAGATAGGATCTTTATGTTATCTCAAAATTCTTTCCCACACATGCCCAATGTGGATGGACCTTTGAAACACTATGCTGAATACAAGAAGACAGACACGAAAGGCCACATGCTGTATGATTCTGGTGATATGAAATATCTGAAATAGACAACTCCATAGAAACAGCACATCAGTTGTTGCTGGGGGTTGGGGAAAAGGAGAAGAGGGAATAGCTGCTTACTGAGTACAGAATTGACTTTGGGGGTGATGAAATGTTCTAGAACTGGATCGTGGTGATGGATATACAGCACTGAGAATGTAATGTGTCTCATTTATACTAATAGTAAATTTTATGTGTATTTTACCAAATATCTCCTATACAATTTTTTTTTGAGATGGAGTCTCACTGTCACTCAGGCTGGAGTGCAGTGGTATACTCTCAGTTCAATACAACCTCTACCTTCTGGGTTCAGGCAGTTCTCCTGCCTCAGCCTCCCCAGTAGCTGGGATTATAGGCATGAGCCACCATGCCTGGCTAATTGTTGTATTTTTAGTAGAGATTGGATTTCACCATGTTGGCCAGGCTGGTCTCAAACTCCTGGCCTCAGGTGATCCACCCACGTCGGCCTCCCAAAGTGCTGGGATTAGCAGGCATGAGGCAGCGCACCTGGCCTTACAAATTATTTTTTAATGACAAAGGAGGAAATGTACAGTAAAAGTCTGGCAGAACACAACCCAATGATCAAAGTCAGCATCACCACGATGAGACACACTGGCATATAGAACCTCCTGGTAGATTCCATTGAGGGATCTATTGAGGGATCTTGTGCCATTCCTGCTAAAAAAAACCATAACCTGCATTGAATCATGAGGAAACATCCAACACAAATTTGAGGAACATTCTACAAAATAAATGGTCAATATTGTTTTTTGTTTGTTTGGTTTGGTTTTTTGAGACAGGGTTTCACCATGTTGGCCAGGCCGGTCTCAAACTGCTGACCTCAGGTGATCCGCCCTCCTCAGCCTCCCAAAGTGCTGGGATTACAGACGTGAGCCACTGCGCCCGGCTGGTCAATATTCTTAAATAATACCAGTGTCATGAAAAACAAAGACAGGCCTGAGGAAGCGTCCCAGATTAAAGGAGACCAAAGAGACCTGAAACTAACATGCAGTGTATCATCTTGGACTGGATCCTGGGGCAGGAAAAAGAAAGCCATATAGTATATTATTGGGATAAGCCGGGCGCGGTGGCTCAAGCCTGTAATCCCAGCACTTTGGGAGGCCGAGACAGGTGGATCACGAGGTCAAGAGATCGAGACCATCCTGGTCAACATGGTGAAACCCCGTCTCTACTAAAAATACAAAAAATTAGCTGGGCGTGGTGGTGCGTGCCTGTAATCCCAGCTACTCAGGAGGCTGAGGCAGGAGAATTGCTTGAACCCAGGAGGCGGAGGTTGCGGTGAGCTGAGATCGCGCCATTGCACTCCAGCCTGGGTAACAAGAGCGAAACTCCGTCTCAAAAAAAAAAAAAAAAAAAATTATTGGGATAATTGGAGAAATTTGACTGTGGACTATAAATATGATAGTTATATTGTATCATGTTAAATTTCTTATTGTTATCATCATAGTGTAAGAAAATGCCCAACGGGGAGCAGTGTCTCACGCCTGTAATCCCAGCACTTTGGGAGGCTGAGGCAGGCGGATTACCTGAAATCAGGAGTTCGAGACCAGCCTGGCCAGTATAGTGAAACCCCATCTCTACTAAAAATACAAAAATTAGCCAGGCGTGGCAGTGGGCGTCTGTTATCCCAGCTACTTGGGAGGCTGAGGCAGGAGAATCACTTGATCCTGGGAGGTGGAGGTTGCAGTGAGCTGAGATTGTGCCACTGCACTCCTGCCTGAGTGACAGAGCGAGACTCTGCTCCCCCCAAAAAAAAAAGAAAAGAAAAAGAAAACGTTCTTGTTTTTCAGAAATAACACACTAAAGCATTTAGTTATAAAGAGATATGGTTTAGGCAACCTACTCTCAAGTGGCTCAGAAAAAAATGTGTGTGTGTGCATTAATCCATTTAAGACTGGGGCTACAATTTCATCCCAGTGAACAGAAAGTCTGATTTGTACTGTACTTCAAAACATTAAACTAGAAATTAATCTTTTTCCCAAAAAATTTAATAACTATCTGGTCACAAATCATTGTAACGAAAGAAGAATGAACCAAGTGTTGATTTTGGGAGGCTGCATCTTCCAACCAGATCATTTGATGTGACATCTTCTCTTGACACTGGAGTTTTGTTAACCAAGATGATGGTCATAAAATACTCAAAGATGTTACCAATTTTCCCAAGTGTGACTTTTAGTCGTTTTATATTTAAATCATTTTTTGAATGCTTTTTCCTCATTTATTTGGAACTTGTCCAGCTCAGACAAATCCTCATGTCTTTATGCTCTCAGTGGCTTTTCATCTGTTCTCCCTCAACATTTTCATCAACTTTGGACAACTGGAGTTCTGTCCAAAGATTTCCAATTCAGCCGGGCGCAGTGGCTCACATCTGTAATCCCAGCACTTTGGGAGGCTGAGGAGGGCGGATCACCTGGCATCAGCAGTTCGAGACCAGCCTGGCCAACATGGTGCAACCCCGTCTCTACTAAAAATACAAAAATTAGCCAGGAGTGGTCGCGGGTACCTGTCGTCCCAGCTACTGAGGAGTCTGAGGCAAGAGAGTCACTTGAACCTGGGAGCTGGAGGTTGCAGTGAGCCGAGATTGCATTGCCACACTCCAGCCTGGGAGACAAAGTGAGACTCCATCTCAGAAAAAAAAGATTTCCAGTTTCACTTTGCTGTTGCTTCCTGTTGCATATCATTCAAACTGTCCTGCCAGAGTAAAGCATTACCCTGAAATTTCAGTGGTTTAACATGCAAAGGCTTATTTCCGCAATCATAATATCTGTCCAAGGTGTGAGGCTTCAACCTGCTATGTGGCTGCACCATCCCCAGCTGCCTCCTTAGGGAGAGTGTGGAGAGCTCATACCTGCTCTTCTGTGCATCAGCCTGGAAATGGTCGTGTTATGTGGTTCTGGCCCATTGGTTAGAATTAGTCACGAGTTCCTAACCTAACTGCAAGGGAGTCCAGAAAATGTAGTCTTTCTGTATGATCTGAGAGGGGAAATCGAAATGGCAGCTTTCTGTCACATGTTGCATTTTTGGGGGGTCCATTGTTATTCAAATGGGAATAGATATTAAGAAGAATGGTGTCTGAGTGGGCATTTATTTTATTTTTATTTTTATTTTTATTTTTGTGAAATGGGGTTCTTGCTCTGTCACCCAGGCTGGAGTACAGTGGTGAGATCATGGTTTATTGCAGCCTCCACCTCCTTGGCTCAAGCAGTCCTCTGCCTTAGCTCACCAAGTATCTGGGACCACAGGCATACGCCACAACACTAGGCTAGTTTTTAAATGTTTTGTAGAGACGGAGTTTTGCTCTGTTGCCCAAGCTGGTCTCAAATTTCTGGGCTTAAGCCATTCTCTTGCCTTGGCCTCCCAGAGTGGTGAGATTACAGGCATGAGCCACCATCCCCAGCTGGGGATTCATTTTATTCGTGGTCAGATTATCAGGAAATATTTCTGTATTGTAATCACTTTGGCTTTGTTATGAAGTAGGGGCTCCGATCAGGAATCCTCAGACAATGAGCTTCTGGGGCATGGGGAATCAGGAACAGCATCTTAGCACACACAGAGCTACTCCTTCCTGCCCAAGAGGAGTGATGCTTTTCTGAATTAGGGATTCTAATGCATCCTCATCCTCCTCCTCCACAAGGAATATCTGGCTTCTGGATGCAACAGCAGACAGCCCCCCTCATGCCACACTTTTGTCCAGTGAAGTCTCCAGGCGAAAAAAGATGGGGAGAGCTGGTTTTGCTTTTCTAAGACCCCATGAAATGTTGCCTTTTTTTTTTTTTTCTTTTTTTAAGAGACAGGGTCTTGCTTTGTTGCCCAAGCTGGAGTACAGTGGTACCATCATGGCTCACTGTGTCCTCCACCTCCCAGACTCAAACAATCTTCCTGCCTCAGCTTCCCAAGTGTCTGGGACTGCAGGTATGACTACTATGCCCAGCTAATTTTCTTTCATTGTTTTTAGAGACAGTGTCTTATTATGTTGCTCAAGCTGGTCTCAAGCTCTTGGGCTTAAGTGATCTTCCTGCCTTCTCCCAAAGTTCTGGGATTATAGGCATGAGCCCCCACGCCCAGCTAAAAGTTGTTTATTTTTTATTGTAATTTTGTTTCGTCATTGACAGATTTTGAATTTCTTTCTTACCCTCTTCAGCACATCCTGCTCTGGGCTTTAAACGTGACCCCTCTCCTCGGCCTGCCCTGTGAAAATGTTGGTGCTTCTTGCTTTCATCATTGCCTTCCACATCACCTCCGCAGCCTTGCTGTTCATCGCCACCATCGACAATGTAAGTTTGCTTTCCTGCCACTCACGCAGAACCCGGGGTCCTGGAGTTAATAGAAGTGGGTTCTATTGGTCTGTTCTCATGCTGCCTATAAAGGCATTCCAGAGACTGGGTACTTTATAAAGAAAATGAGGTCTAATGGACTCACAGTTCCACATAGTTAGTGGGAGCCTCACAATCATGGCAGAAGACAAAGGAGGAGCAAAGACACGTCTTACATGGCGGCAGGCAAGAGACTGTGTGCAGGGAAACTGCCCTTTATAAAGCCATCAGCTCTTGTGAGACTTATTCACTACCATGAGGACAGTATGGGAAAAACCTGCCCCTGTGATTGAGTTACCTCCCCCTGGGTCCCTCTCATGACGTCGGAATTATGGGAACTACAATTTGAGATTTGGGTGGGCCACAGCCAAACCATATCACAGATTGAGAGCCCTGCCAAGGTGCTCATGATTTGCGGTTGTTCTCCCTGTGAAGGCATGACCGATCTTCTGAGCCAAGGTCTCAGGACTCTTGGCCTAAATGTGAAGGTTCAGGGCATCCCATGTTCAAGCTTTGGCGGCAGGTCCTGGCAGGCAGCGGTGTTTGTCCTCGCATCCATGACTCTTCCATGGAGCCTGGCTCTAGGAAGCCCTTCGAGGACGTTGTGTGACTTCAGCTTTCCTCTAGATCAGCGTTCTCAACCTGGTCACTGTTGTCATTTTGGGCTGGATAATCCTTTGTTAATGGGGGCCTCCCTGTATATTGTGGGAAGTTCAGCAACATCTCTGGCCTTATCCGCTAGATGCAGTAGCACCCTTGCTCCTGGTTATGATGATCCCAAATGTCTTCAGACACTGCCAAATGTCCCATGGAGAATAAAATCACCCTCTCTTGAGGTCCGCTTCCCTAGATCTCCCAGGTGACCCATCCCGGGTGGCGTCTGCCCCAACCCTTGATATCTCCTTACCAACAAGGGTCCCTTACTGCTAGTCCACCCAGCCATGTCCTCCCCAGCAGAGCTTAGGCCTGGAACTTTCCAGACTCTACCTATGCCCCTATGAAAAATGAAAAATGTAACGTTTTCTTTTAGTATCCAGCTTGCAGCCATATGGCAGGAATGTATTGGAAAAATAAATAACGTATTGTCATAGATTAATATCCCTCTAAGCAGGGAATGATATTAGGGAAGCTTCTTCTTACTTTTTTATTTTTGAGACAGAGTTTTGCTCTTTCACCCAGGCTGGAGTGCAATGGCGCGATCTTGGCTCACTGCAACTTCCATCCCTTGGGTTCCAATGATCCTCCTGGCTCAGACTCCCGAGTAGCTGGGATTATAGGCACGTTCCATTACACCCAACTAATTTTAGTATTTTTAGTAGAGGTGGGGTTTCTCCACGTTGGTGAGGCTGGTCTCAAACTCCAGACCTCAGGTGATCCTCTCACCTCGGCCTTCCAAAGTGCTGGGATTACAGGCGTGAGCCACTACACCTGGCCTAGGGAAGCTTTTTAACAGAGCTTCTCTATGGCCTATATACCAATCTAAAGAGCTGGCTTCCATTCTGCTCATTGTAGACTGCAGAGATAATTAAAGGGCAGAAACATTGCTCAGAAAGCCGAAAAGTGCACCATACTAGTGGTCATGAACTCTGCCTACATATGCGGCTCCTGTTGATGAATCATCATGACAGTAATAACATAAACGATAACACCTGTCACCTATGGCCAGGGCTCATAAAAGCCCTTTTATGGATGTCATGTCATGTGATCCTTGTACCAGGCAGGGTACCAGCAATTTCTTGCACTGGGTTACAGGTGAAGGAACTGAGCCTCAGGGCAGGCACTTGGCAGAGTTTACAGTGCGGTAAGCGGCAGAGCCAGGATTTGAGCCATTCCAGAGGCTCGTGGTCCTAGACCCTGTCAGGGTAGGTGAGTGCAGTCATTGCATTTGGGTTCTGGAGCTTCTTGCTGAGCTGCTGTAAGTGGCGTGGGCAGGGACCACATTGATGCTGTGGATTATAGCAACGCTCCCCAACCTTTTTGGCACCAGGGGCCAGTTTCATGGAAGACAATTTTTCCATGGATGGGAGAGGGGACATTGCAGGAGGAAGGCTTCAGGATGATTCGGGTGCATTCCATTTATTGTGCACTTTATTATTATTGATACTTTTTTTTTTTTTGGAGATGGAGTTTTGGTCTGTTACCCAAGCTGGAGTGCAATGGCGCAGTCTGCTCACTACAACCTCTGCCTCCTGGGTTCAGGCGATTCTCCTGCCTCAGCCTTCTGCTGCGTGTCCTAACAGGACATGTGCCACCATGTTCAGCTCATTTTTTGTATTTTTAGTAGGATCAGCGTTTCACCATGTTGGCTAGGCTGCTCTCAAACTCCTGACCCCAGGTGATCCACCCGCCTCAGCCTCCTAAAGTGCTGGGATTATAGACATGAGCCACTGCGCCTGGCCCCTTTATTGTTACTACATTGTAATGTATGATGAAATAATGATATAACTTGTCATAATGTGGAATCAGCGGCAGCCCTAAACTTGTTTTTCTGGACTAGGCAGTCCCATGTGGGGGTGATAGGAGACAGTGGGATAGGAGATCAGGCATTAGATTCTCATAAGGAGCATGCAGCCTGGATCCCTGGCATACACAGTTCACCGTAAGGTTGACACTCCTATAAGAATCTGTTATCCCTGCTGACCTGCCAGGAGGCAGAGCTCAGGTGGTGATGAGAGTGACCAGGAGCAGCTGTAAATACAGATGAAGCTTCCTCTGCTGGCTGCTCACCTCCTGCTGTGTGGCCTGGTTCCTAACAGGCCACAGAGCAGTGCCAGTCCATGGCCCATAGGTTGGAGACCCCTGGATTATAGTATATGGACTCACCATTCCCGGAGCTCACTGTGAAATAAATGGGACCCAGTGTTCTTTTCGAATCTCCTTTTTCTATTTCTTCCCATCTAGTCCTTTCAGATCCGGAAAAGATCCCAGACGGTGAAAAGGATAGACAGACATTAGGGGCAGGAACGCCATCTGCCTCAGTGAACTCTATCCAGCACCCTCAGGGCGTGGAGATTATCATGGCATATTCTGAGAAGATGCAGGTGGACTTTTTGTCCATCAATAAGCCTGAGGGGTATTCATTATGAGTTTGGAATTGTGGCTGGGCACGGTGGCTCATGTCTATAATCCCAGCACTTTGGGAGGCTGAGACGGGTGAATCGGAAGGTCAGGAGTTCGAGACCAGCCTGGTCAACATAGTGAAACCCTGTCTCTACTAAAAATACAAAAATTGGCCAGGCATGGTGGCAGGCGCCTGTAATCCCAGCTACTCGGGAAGCTGAGGCAGGAGAATTGCTTGAACTCGGGAGTCAGAGGTTGCAGTGAGCCGAGATCACAATACTGCACTCCAGCCTGGGAGACACAGTGGGACTGTCTCCAAAAAAAAAAAAAGAGTTTGGAATTGTGCTTGGCATTATGGCTGGCACACAGTGGGAGCTCAGGGAATGTTGACTGGGGATGGATGGGTATGGGGAGTCTAGTCTGGGCAACTGGAAAGTAGAAGGAAGGTCATCTTGGGTAGCTGGGGCAGCAGCCGCCAAATCGCAGAGGGAAGTGAATGCTTTGGGCTGAAGACGGGAGAATCCTGTCTGGTCATCCCATCCATTGCAGTGTTTGTTTGTTTGTTTAAACAGGGTCTCTCTCTGTCACCCAGGCTGGAGTACAGTGTTGCAATCACAGCTCCCTGCAGCCACTACTGCCCAGGCTCAGGCGATCCTCCCACCTCAGACTCCTGAGTAGCTGGGACTACAGTCACACACCACCACACTTGACTAATTTTTTGTATTTTTTTGTAGAGACGGGTGGCTCTAGCTGGTGTCAAACTCCTGGGCTCAAGCAATCCTCCCACCCTGGCCTCCCAAAGTGCTGAGATTACAGGCATGAGCCGCTGTGCCTGGCCCTGTCTGCTATTATTTCCACTAACTCAGCATCATCTTTTCTCCCATGCTCTCTGAGGGCCTGGACCACCTCTTATCCTTTGGCAGACATTAGCAGGGCATCATCTGAAGCTGGTTAGAAATATAGAATCCCAGCTGGGCGCATTGGCTCATGCTTGTAATTCCAGCACTGTGGGAGGCTGAGTCAGGCAGATCACCTGAGGTCAGGAGTTCAAGACTAGCCTGAAAATATGGTGAAACCCTGGCTCTACAAAAAATACAAAAATTAGCCAGGCATGATGGTGTATATCTGTAGTCCCAGGTACTCAGGAGGCTGAGGTGGGAGGATTGTTTGATCCCAAGAGATGGAGGCTGCATTGAGCCAAGACTGCACCACTGCCCTCCAGCCTGGGCAACAGAGCAACACTGTCTCAAAAAAAAAACAAAACAACGAAAAGAAAGAAATGCAGAATCCTAGGCCCCACCCCAAACCTCCTGAGTCAGTCTGCAGTAGAACAAGCTCCCCAGGCGATTCTCACGGGCGCTGCGGTTTGAGAATCCCAGAAGCCCACCATGCCTCGTACCTAATTAGGAGTCAGTGTTTGCATCATTAATGGACAGCCTTTCTCTCTGTTTTCATTTTGTGTTATAGGCCTGGTGGGTAGGAGATGAGTTTTCTGTAGATGTCTGGAGAGTATGTACCAACACCACGAACTGCACAGTAATCAATGAGAGCTTTCAAGGTGAGTGTGAATGAAGGAAGCTGACTGAGAAGCACTGAGTGAGGAAGGAAGGTTCCGGAGTGAGGCTTCGGGTTCTCTGACCCCACACCCTCTCCCCCACTCGCAGGAGGGTGCCTGGCCACGTTTGCTTGGTGTGTGCCAGAGCGAAGGACAGCACAAGCTGGAGATGGCAGGGGTGTAGAGAAGGCGAGACTGGGGTGGGACCAAGTCTGCTAAGTGGGGCTCATCCCTTCTCTGTCTCTCGGAAGCACAGTTTCCTTTCCTCATCCTTTTCCGGCTTCCGCTGTCATCTAGAATTTTCCCTACCCTCCTTTTTTTATCCAAGCCTCACCTCTAAATAGGCTCAGAGACCATAATTTACTCTCCAATCTCTTTTTTCCCTCCAGCAGTAAGAAATCAGATCTGGCCGGGTCAGTGGCTCATGCCTGTAATCCCAGCATTTTGGGAGACAGAGGTGGGTGAATCACCTGAGGTCAACAGTTTGAGGCTAGCCTAACCAATATGGCAAAACCCTGTCTCTACTAACAATACAAAAAATTAGCTGGATGTGGTGGTGCATGCCTGTAACCCCAGCTACTGGGGAGGCTAAAGCAGAAGAATTGCCTGAACCCAGGAGGTGGAGATTGTGGTGAGATCGTGCTGCTGTACCCCACCCTGGGTGACAGAGTGAAACTCTAAATTCCAAGATGTGGCTTCTGTTCTTAGGAGCAAGCCATGTGGCCTCACATTGGGCCAGTCAATTTCAGCAGCCTCAGCCATAGAACAGAAGTAATGATGCCCTTGCTGTGCCTACCTCTTCAGTGAGCTAAAATACATGAAAAAGCCTTGAAATACAGAAAATCCATTCAGAAACATGCTGGCCACTGTCTTCCATTATGAAGCAAATGGTTCTGTTTTTCCTCATCGAACTAACAGAATAGATACTTTGGGATCCCAGTTGCCTGACTAAAATACAGTATATGCAGTTAAATTAGAGATTTCAGATAAACAGTAAGTACTGTATTTAGTATGACTATGTCCCAAATTTTATTTTACTTTTTTTTTTTTTTGAGACAAAGTCTCGCTCTGTCACCCAGGCTGGAGTGCAATGGTGCAATCTTGGCTCACTGCAGTCTCTGTCTCATGGGTTCAAGTGATTCTCCTGTCTCAGCCTCCCAAGTAGCTGGAATTACAGGCGTATACCACCACACCCAGCTAATTATTGTATTTTTAGTAGAGATGGGCCCTACAAGATTTTGTATTTTTAGGGGTTTCACCATGTTGGTCAGGCTGGTCTCTTAACTGTTGACCTCAGGTGATCCACCCACCTCAGCCTCCGAAAGTGCTGGGATTACAGGCATGAGCGACCATGCTTGGCCTGACTGTGTCCTGAGTATTATTGTAACATGGGACATGTTTATTTTAAAAAGTACTTTTTTTTTGTTGGTTGATGGGGAGGTTGGTTTTTTTTTTTTTTTTTAAACAGGGTCTCTTTTAACGCAGGCTGGAGTGCAGTGGCACCATCATGACTCACTGCAGCCTTGACCTCCTGGGCTCAAGTGGCCCTCCCATCTCAGCCTCTCAAGTAGCTGGGACTACAGGCACTCACCAAATTGCCCCACTAATTTTTGTAATTTTTGTGGACGTGGAGTTTCACCGTGTTGTCCCCAGGCTGGTCTCGAACTCCTGGGCTCAAGTGATCTGCCTACCTCAGCTTCCCAAAGTACTGGGATTACAGATGTGAGCCACTGTGCCTGGCCTAAAAATTATTTGTTGCTATTAGATATTCATTTACTGAGCACCCTGTCTTTTTTGTTTTGTTTTGTTTGCCAAATCTGACAATCGCGTTAGGGAGCAAAGGAACCTGTGATTCCCACCACACTCAGTAACAATACCCGTATTCATCATAAACGCAGCAAAAATCCCAGTAGAAGGCACCATTTACTTAAAGTTTACTGTGAGGTACGTCTAAGTCCTTTATATGCACGATGTCATAGCCCTATCAGGCAGGGACCATAGGCCCCATTTTAAAATGGGGGAACTGAGGCATAGAGCAGTTAAGTTACCCAAGGCCACATAGCCAGGAGTGAATGATGGAGGCAGACGATTCCAGTCAAGATGTGACCAACTCTAAAGGCTGTGCGTGTAACCGCGGAACAGCGTCGGTCTCCCTTCCGTCTCGGTCTCTTCATCGGTCATGCTCACCCCTGGCCCTGGGACAGCTGTCCTGCCCTGTGCTCTACAAGCCCCAGCTGTCGCCAGTGTGCGAGGCCAGCTGGGAGGGCTTGCTGGGCTCCATGGCAGTGTTTCCCAGCCTCTGTGTTCTGCATCTTCCACATGGGATTATTTACTTATTTTTCCTTAAAACAGGCTGGTGAACCACTGGCCAAATTCAGTCCAGGGCCTATTTTTGTTTGGCCCAGGAGCTAAGAACAGTTTTTACATTTTTTAAAGTTGTTTAAACACACGCACACACACACACACACACGCACACACACACACACACACACCCCTAGAAACAAAACAAAAAGAACATTTGACAAGACTTCAAAACCCAAAATATTCACTGTCTATCCCTCTATTGAAAAAGGTTGTCAACTTTTTTTTACTTTAAAAAGTTCACTTTTAAAATAGCCCACTTTCTGTACATAAATCTACTGTGTTTATTTATGTAGTAGAGACAGGGTCTTGCTATGTCGCCCAGGCTCGTCTCCCATGCCTGGCCTCAAGTGATCCTCCCATCCTGGCCTTCCAAAGTGCTTAGATTTATAGGCGTGGGCCACTGTGCCTGCTCATAAATCTATTTTATTTTATTTCATTTTATTTTGCGAATCAGGGTCTCGCTTTGTCACCCTGGCTGGAGTGCCTTGGCGCATTCATGGCTCACTGTAACCTCTGCCCTCCAGGTTCAAGTGATCCTCCCACCTCAGCCTCCTGAGTAGCTGGGACTACAGGTGTGTGCCACCACACCCGGCTAATTTTTTGGTATTTTCTGTAAAGACAGGGTTTCACCATGTTGTCCAAGCCGGTCTTAAACTCTTGAGCTCAAGCAGTTCACCCGCCTTGTCCTCCTAAACCATAAGTCTGTTTTAAAGAGAACTTCACGTCCCTCCCATGAGTGATTAAACTACTATCACTTGCCATCAAAGAAGGGAAGCTTTCTGAAAATACTAGATTGAAAGCCCAATGATGTTATTACAGTCTAGTCAGACACACTTGCCTCCTGAAGCCTCCTGAAGCTTCTCGTCCTTTCCATTCAAAAAGCAAACAATCTAAAACACCCAGATATTAGCGGATGTCTGTAAAGCGTAAAGCAGATGTTAGAGAGGGACCTCCTTGAGGTCCTTAGAGGAAATGGAGAACTCTTCTTTGAGGTCCTTAGAGCTATTTATTTATTTATTCGAGACGGAATCTCATTCTGTCACCTACACTGGGATGCAGTGGGGTGATCTCTGCTCACTGCAGCCTTCACCTCCTGCGTTCAAGCTATCTTCCTGCCTTAACCTCCCGAGTAGCCAGGATTAGAAGTGTGTGCCACCATGCCCAGCTAATTTTTGTATTTTTATTAGAGATGGCGTTTTTCCATGTTGGCCAGGCTGGTCTTGAACTCCTGACCTCAGGGATCCATCCGCCTTTGCCTCCCAAAGTGTTGGGATCACAGGCGTGAGCCACGGCACCCAGCCCTTAGAGGAATCTAAACAGAGCAAAGTGAGCATCCCTCCCATTCAGTGAATTTCTGTGCTTTCCCATCCTCACTGGGTTCCACACACACCGATCTCAGGGGCTGCCTTGTGGGCACATCCTGCACCCCCTCCCAGCTTTGAGAAACCCTGTTCTAGAAACATATATTCACCCTTTCCCCCAAAGGCATGTTTTCCCCATTTGCCCCAGCATGGGTCACTTGTTGCTGATAATACAGATTCCTGGTCCCCACTCCAGGGCAATGGTAGCAGAAGCTCCAGGGGGAGAGGCCTGGGAATCTGTATTTTTAATAAGCAATACCAAGTGATCCCTGGGACTGGGTAGATTTGGGAAATACTGCTCTAAGCCAGAGGGTCCGCACTTTGGCCCCACATTGGAATTTCCTCAGTGGCTTTACGAAGCCCCAGTGCGTGGTCTCCATGTCCGACATTCCGATTTATTTCATCTCAGGAGAGCCTGCCGGGTTTGTTTTCTTTCTTTTTCTTTTTTAATGGAGTTGCAATATACAAACAAGGAAATGCAGGCTTCTTAAGGGCTCCGTTTGATGGGTTTTGGCAATTATATAAACACCCATGTAACCACTATCCAAAAGATGACAGAGAACATTCCTAACTCTCCAGAAAGTTCCGTGGGCCCCCTTCCACACAGTTGCCACTGCCTTCTGCCCCGATGCAACCACTTCTGACTTCTGCTACTATCAGTCACCTCCATCTGTTCCTGGGCTTCACAGGAACGGGGTCATGTGCTGTGTGTGATAGAGGGGAGCCGGTCTGACTTCTTTTGCTCCCCATAAGGAATTGGGTGAGAGGCTAGATGTTCCCCAGGTAACCATGATGTGCAGCCAGGATGATATGGCTCTAAATGTTTCATTAAGCACTTACATGTTTGTTCCAATGAGTTTTCAGGTAAAACTGCAAAATTAAAAAAAAAAGTAAAAGGAAGGTGTGTCCTTAGATTTTCTGTGCTGTGTGGAACTGTTCCCTCGCCTTATCTTTTGGCCTCATCCTGGAGGTAACATTCAACATTCAGGTATATATATATATATATATATATATTTTTTTTTTTTTTTTTTTTTTTTTTTTTTTGAGTTGGAGTTTCGCTCTTGTTGCCCAAGCCGGAGTGCAATGGTGCAGTCTCGGCTCACCACAACCTCTGTCTCCTGGGTTCAGGCAGTTCTCCTGTCTCTGCCTCCCAAGTAGGTGGGATTACAAGTATGTGCCACCATGCCCGGCTAATTTTGTATTTTTAGTAGGGATGGGGTTTCTCCATGTTGGTCAGGCTGGTCTCGAACTTCCGACCTCAGATGATCCACCTGCCTCAGCCTCCCAAAGTGCTGGGATTACGGGTATGAGCCACCACACCCGGCCCAACATTCAGCTCTTAAGCAGGACTCCCACCTTGCCTATACCATCTAAATCCCCTCACGTAGATGAGTTTTCCCTCCCTTCCCAGCCCAATGAGGGAGGAGCTATTAGTGTCCCCATTTTAGAATTCAATATTAGCATGAGCAACATAGCGAGACTCCGTCCCTACAGAAATTTTCTTTAGTTAGCCAGACATGCCTGTAGTCCCAGCTACGTAGGAGGCTGAGGCAGGAGGATCACTTGAGCCCAAGAGTTCAAGGCTGCAGTGAGCTATGATTGTGCCACTGTACTACAGCCTGGGTGTTAGAGTGACTCTGGCTCAAAAAAAAAGTATTCCCATTTTACAGGTGAGGAAACTGAGGCCCATGAAGGTAGCTGTAACCCATGTACAGGATGCTTTCCCTACGCCACATAGCTTTCTACACATAGCTTCACTGTGACCTGCTCCCAGGTGACACCCTCCACCCCACACCTCCCTTCTCCACTGAAGTTTCTCTGTACTAAGCCCCAGACCCTCACACCCCAGTCTGTGTTAAAGCTGACCTGAAAGAAAGGAGCTCTCCTCCTCTTCGTAGGTCGTGACCATTAAGATCAGCCTCTGATATCGGCAGGCTGCTATGGAGTCTGCAGAGCGCTTCCACAAGGTCACTCGGTTCCATGAGCCCCAAGTCTGTGAGAATTCCACTCTAAAATGTGGACCCCTAAGGCCCCATCCTGAGTTCTTGAGTCAGAATCTACCACGTTGGAACCTGGGATTCATACTTTAAAAGAATCCCCTGGTCAGACATGATGGCTCACGCCTGTAATCCCAGCACTTTGGGAGGCCGAGGCGGGTGGATCACGAGGTCAGGAGATTGGGACCATCCTGGCCAACATGGTGAAACCCCGTCTCTACTAAAAATACAAAAATTAGCTGGGCGTGGTGACGCGTGCCTGTAATCCCAGCTACTTGGGAGGCTGAGGCAGAAGAATAGCTTGAACCAGGGAGTTGGAGGTTGTAGTGAGCCAAGATTGTGCCACTGCACTCCTGCCTGGCAACAGAGTGAGACTCCATCTCTTAAAAAAAAAAAGAGTCCCCTGTCCACAACTCAAGCGTTTGAAGGCTGTGACCAGACCAGGAAGAACGCAGAACAGGTGGTCTTCTCGCTCTGTCTTCCAGATAAGGGTGTCGAGGATTGTCCTGTCAGACAGACCCTGGAGGTGAGGGGCGGGGGGTCTGGAAGACTCCTTTCCTAGCACAGACCATGTAGATGACAGCGTGCACCCCGCAGTGCCGGCTGGCCACGGTCCTCAGTCCTGCGCCCCTGCCCTTTTCCCGCAGAGTACTCCACGATGCAGGCGGTGCAGGCCACCATGATCCTCTCCACCATTCTCTGCTGCGTCGCCTTCTTCATCTTCTTGCTGCAGCTCTTCCGCCTGAAGCAGGGAGAGAGGTTTGTGCTCACCTCCATCATCCAGCTAATGTCATGTAAGTAAGTCGACTGGCTTCCCTAACGAGGGCTTTCTGGAGTAAGCACTCCTTCCCAGCCGCCAGAAGGAGGGAGGATTGGCAAGGAGAAATTGGCAGTCAGGTAGTGCTGTGTGCTTGTGTATGTATGTGTGCACACGCAGGCTGTACTGCAGTGGGACGTTTTATATGTGGGGGTTTGGATTTAGTTGGGAGTCCTGAAGACATGAAGCCAGAGGATCTGCAGGGTGAGTATGAGTTGCTGTCCACAGTGTTCTGTCTTAGTACAGAGAGGAGGGAACAGCATCCTGGGTGGAGGGAACAGCGTGACAGAAGCCCTGTGATGCGAGGGGTGGAGAGCTGCCCAGTGGGGCTGCGGCGCAGTGGGAAGTGGGAAATAAGCCAGAAGGGCAGGCAAGGCCACACCCCATGGAGTCTTGCAGGTCTTAGAAAGTATTTGGAGTCTTTGTCCTAAGCTGATGGGAAGCCATCAACAGGTTTCAGGCCTGTGCTGGCTGCAGGGGCTAAAGAGTTGAACAAGGCACCGCCTCTGTCCAGAGGAACTCAGAGGAAGCAGGGGTCTCGGAGCCTTTTTTTTGCTGCTTCGGAATTTTAGCAAGGCTGAAGTCAGATCAGAAGGAAGAAGCCAAGCAGGATCATTTGTTGTTTCTCAGTGATGATTTAAAGCGTTCTGATCACAAAAGGCAGAAGTCCCTTGTAGGGTGCTGTTCAGTCAGGAGTTAACAGGTGGCTTCATGAAGGCGCGTAATCTGAGTGTCGGAGCCAACTTAGGCTGCTTGGCTGTAACCACCATGACCGCCACCTCCGTCCAGCCCGCCACGTCACGGGTGAGGGTCAAGTCCAAACCTGCCATGCCCTCGGGATGACCCTGAGATGTGTCATCAGCGCAGTGCAGTGACGACTTGTTCTAGTTTGCCTGGGAACGTCTGTTTTAAAACAAAAGTCCCGGCCAGGCGCAGGAGCACTCTGGGAGGCCGATGCAGGAGGATCGCTTGAGCCCAGGAGTTCAAGACCAGCCTGGGCAACATCGTGAGAAAAAAAAAAAAAAAATTAGCCATGCATGGAGGAGTACAACTGTAGCCCCAGCTACTCAGGAGGCTGGAGTGGGAGGTCATCTGAGCCTGAGACGTGGAGGCTGTAGTGAGCTGTGGGGTGCTGTACCATTTGTATAAGTCCATTCCCACACTGCTGATAAAGACGTATCTGAGACTGGGTAATTTGCAAAGGAAAGGGGCTTAATGGACTCACACTTCCACGTGGCTGGGGGGGCCTCTCAGTCATGGTAGAAGACAAAGGAAGAACATAGGGACTTCTTCCATGGTGGCAGAGAGAGTGTGTGCAGGGGAAATGCCCTTTATAAAACCCTCCGATCTCGTGAGACTTACTCACTACCACGAGAACAGTCTAGGGGAACCACCACCCTTGTGATTCAGTTATCTCCCCTGGCCCTGCCCTTGACATGTGGGGATTAAGGTGAGATTCGGGTGGGGACACAGCCAAACCATATCACCACTGCACCCCAGCCTGGGGGATATGATGAGACTCTGTCTCAAAAAATAAAGTAAAGTAAACGGCAAGTCTCACATCCTAGGAAACTCCAGTCCAGGGCAAAGTGGGGTGGCTGGTCATACTCAGCGTTCTCTCCCCTTGGGACATCTTAACTGGACATCCAGATACCACCCCTTCTAGGTACAGGCAGAGAATGAAAGTGTTTTCAAGTGCAAAAGACTCCAGAGGGTCACTTATCTTGAGACCCCCCACCCCGCCGCCCCTGGCAGATTCCACCACAGCCCTTCTGGGGACTTTTCTAAAGTGCAGACTCCCAAGGCCCCAGCCTGCCCTCTTGAATCAGAGTCTGCAGGGTTAGAGCCTGGGGATTTGTTCCCTTGTCCCTGAGCCAAGCGTTGGAGAACGAAAACCCAGACCAAATGAGGCCTAAGGGGGAATGTGACCGTCCCGAGGACCCCAGGTGAGGTAGCGAGGTGTCTGATCCCCTCCTTTACTGCGTCTGTATCGCACGAACCCTTCACCCTCACCGATCCCATTAAAGGCAGTTGAATACTGTCATCTAAGTCGTGGGGGGCAAGGGGGCTTAGGAAGTCACTACCTGAAGGCTTTTCTTTTTTCTCTTTCTTTTTTTTTCTTCCTCTCCTTTTCTCTTTCTCTTTCTTTCTTTTCTTTTCTTTTTTCTTTTTCTTCCTCTCTTTTTCTTTTTCTCTTTTTCTCTCTTTCTTTCCTGTCTTTTTTTTTTTTTTTTTTTCCCTGAAACCTCCGCCTCCTGGGTTCAGGCAATTCTCCTGCCTCAGCCTCCTGAGTAGCTGGGATTACAGGCACGCGCCACCACGCCCAGCTAATATTTTGTATTTTTAGTAGAGACGGGGTTTCACCATGTTGACCAGGATGGTCTCGATCTCTTGACCTCGTGATCCACCTGCCTCGGCCTCCCAAAGTGCTGGGATGACAGGCTTGAGCCACCGCGCCCGGCCCCCTTTCCTGTCTTTCTCTCTTTCTTCTGGATCTCTCTGTTGCCCAGGCTGAAGGACAGTGGTGAGATCACAGCTCACTGCAGCCTCAGCCTCCAGGGCTCAAGCAGTGCTCCCACCTCAGCCTCCTGAGTAGCTGGTGCTACAAACATGTGCCACCATGCTTGGCTAATTCCTCTATTTTTTGTAGAGATGGGGTTTCACTATGTTGCCTAGGCTGCTCTCGCAATCCACCAAGGTCAGCCTCCCAAAGTGTTGGGATTCCAGGCATGAGCCACTGCGCCCAGCTTCTGAAGTTTATTTTCTGTTATTGTCTGTGTTTGTCTGTTTATCTGTAAGGCCACTTGGCTAAAATTGATTACCCTAATATATATATATATATTTAGGAAGAAAATTCCCCCCACATTTTAGCATGAAAGTCACATCCCCTCATTTTCCTTCCATCCCCTTCTCCCCAGCTCCTTTGCTCATTTTCTGGTCCAAAGACCTGGCCTTCCCAGTTCTGCTTCAAACTGCAGAGTGTTTAGATGCCGTATCAGGAAGGGAGTTTTAGACACAAGCAGCAGATACTCGAACGCATGTGAGAGATGGAATTCCGGGGGTAGCTTGCAGTAGTCAAAGGAAAAGGTGAATAACTAGGTCTTGGAAAGAAGACTCGGGCACCAGCAACTGACAGGCAGCGGCTTCAGGGAGATTCAGAATCAAGGAACCCTGACAGGCTGTTTATATTCAAGTTTCCAGGAGTGAGAGCCTGATTGGCGGAGACTGTCTGCTCACTCGGTCCCTGGCCAGAGAATGTCTGGGCATCTTGAAGGACACTCCCACAAGGAGAACCACAGCACTTAACCTCATCTTAGCACTCATGTCTCTAAATATTGGGACTGCAAATATTTATTTTTTTAATTTTTTTTGAGACAGGGTCTTGCTCTGTTGCCCAAGCTGGAGTGCAATGGTGTGACCTTGGCTCACTGCAACCTCCGCCCTCAAGGTTCAAATGATTCTCATGCCTCAGCCTCCCAAGTAGCTGGGACTACAGGTGTGCAACATCACACCCAGCTAATTTTGGTATTTTTAGTAGAGACGCGGTTTTGCTATATTGGCCAGGCTGGTCTTGAACTCCTGGCATCAAGTGATCTGCCCACCTCAACCTCCCAAAATGATGGGATTATAGGCATGAGCCACTGCATCTGACCAAGAACCTCGAGTGTTAGAATTAGGATGCTTTTGGCTGCATCCAAGAGAAAATCCAATTAACTGTGACTTCAGCTGCAAAGATAGTTACTATTTTCACATGACAAATACTCTGGAGGTGGAAGGTTCTGGAGCTGATTTAGCAGCATGAACATCAAGCACTTCCACTCATTCCATCCTTCTGTTCTGTCATCTTTAGTGTTGGTGTTGACCTCTTCATGGCTCCAAAAAAGCTGCTGCAACTCCAGACATTTCATCCTAATCTGACAATATCTAAAGCAGTCAGCAAGAGAAAATAAAGCAACTTAAAACAGCTTTCTCTTCCCTCATCTCTCTCTTTTCAGGCAGTCTTTTTTTTTTTTTTTTTTTTTTTTGAGACAAAATGTTTGCTCTTGTTGCCCAGGCTGGAGTGCGATGGCACGATCTCGGCTCACTGCAACCTCTGCCTCCTGGGTTCAAACGATTCTCCTGCTTCCTCCTGAGTAGCTGGAATTACAGGCACTCACCACCATGCCCGGCTAATTTTTTATATCTTTAGTAGAGACAGGATTTCACCGTGTTGGCCAGGCTGGTCTCAAACTCCTGACCTCAGGTGATCCACTGGCCTTGGCCTTGCAAAGTGCTGAATTACAGGCGTGAGTCACCATGCTCCGCCCAGGAAGTTATATTTTTCACTCAAGATTTTCTGTGCTCAGAATTGGGACACATAGTGACCCATCTGTAACAAGTAAACAGGAACCAGGTTGCCAAGAAGAAAGTTGGCAAACTATGGCTTATAGGACAAAACTGGCCTCCCACGTGTTTTTGTAAATAAAGTTTTATTGAAACACCGCCATGACCACTCATTTTTGTATTGTCTATGGCTGTTGTCACCCTTCTGCGGCAGACGTGAGTAGTTTGAATGTGGCCCGCAGAAAACCTAAACTGCTTACCGTCTGGCCCTTTGTGGGTCACTTCTGTAGACCTCTGCTTAGACCAGTTGTGTTCACCCACTGGGTTGGTGACGTGGCTACCCAAACAAAACTGGGTTGAGTTAGCAAGAATGGGAAGCACTATAGCTACGGGGTAGGTGGCAATATCCTGCCACAAAATATAAGTTGCAATTTTTCCAAGACACTAAAATAAATACCTATTAATAATAAGAGCTTAAGGCTGCATGCAGTGGCTCACGTCTGTAATCCCAGAACTTTGGGAGGCCAAGGAAGGAGGATTGCTTGAGCTCAGGAGTTCAAGACCAGCCTGGGTAATATGGCAAAATCCTGTCTCTACAAAAAAATAATAAAGAATAAGCCGGGCGTGGTGTCTCACACCTGTAATCCCAGTACTTAGAAAGGCGGAGGCAGGCAAATCATGAGGTTAGGAGTTTGAGACCAGCCTGGGCAACATGGTGAAACCCCGTCTCTACTAAAAAAATACAAAAAAATTAGCAGGGCATAGTGGTGGGTGCCTGTAATCCCAGCTACTCGGGAAGCTGAGGCAGGAGAATCACTTGAACCCAGGAGGTAGAGGTTGCAGTGAGCCGAGATCATGCCATTGCACTCCAGTCCTGGCGACAGAGTGAGACTCTTGTCTCAAAAACAAACAAACAAACAACATAAAGAATAAAAGCTGAAGTTTGTCTTCAAGTCTGGCTGTACGTCCCTGGGTACCAGGGTGCACTTGGTCCATGACTTATTCAAAATGCACCTTTCTTCCTGACAGGTCTGTGTGTCATGATTGCGGCCTCCATTTATACAGACAGGCGTCAAGACATTCACGAGAAAAACAGAGAATTCTATAACCTGAAGGAAGGAGGTAGCTACGGCTACTCCTACATCCTGGCGTGGGTGGCCTTCGCCTGCACCTTCATCAGCGGCCTGATGTACCTGATATTGAGGAAGCGCAAATAGAGTTCCGGAGCTGGGTTGCTTTTGCTGCAGTACAGAATCCACATTCAGATAACCATTTTGTATATAATCATTATTTTTGTGTGAGGTTTTTCTAGCAAACGTAATGTTTCCTTTAAACACCCCCCCCCAAAAAAAAAAGAAAAGAAAAAAAAAATCCAAAAGAGAGAAGAGTTTTTGCATTCTTGAGATCAGAGAATAGACTGTGAAGGCTGGTATTCAGAACTGCTGCCCACTCAAAAGTCTCAACAAGACACAAGCAAAAATCCAGCAATGCTCAAATCCGAAAGTGCTGGGCAGGACATTTCTTAACCATGGGGCTGTGATGGGATGAGATGAGGGGCTGGGAAAGCTGTTCTCTGGGGATGTGATTCCTGTAGGTCTCAGCTGGCCCAAGCCCCTCTGGAGTCGCTCTGCTAGTGGTGGAGGAAGGGGTGAGGTGGGGTGCAGGACAGGAACCGCAGCCTCTGGAGAGGTGCAGCCCAAGCTCCACGTGAGAAGCAGGTGTAGCCGCCGGCCTTCCGTCTGTATTCAAATCAGAGCCCAGCCAAGCCTCCGGCGTAGGGGTGGGTCAGAAGGAGTCTCACCTAAATTTGCCGACAGTGTTACCTGCTTGCCTTAGGAATGGTGATCCTTTACCTGCGTGCCAGATTTAGACTCACCCTTAGGCAAAACCTACAGCGCAGCCTGCCTCCCGCCCCGACCCCAGACCCACAGAATCAGTCTTCAAGGGATGGGGCCTGGGGATCTGCATTTCTAACACACTCCCTGGGCAATACTTCAGATGCATTGAAGTTGGGGACCACAGTCCCTGGGCCAGGTGAGCAGAGGTGCCTCATAAATGCTAGGATGTCATCATGTGGAGATGGGGAGGTGGGTGTACCCCCTACAGCAAACCAAAACCTTGACCTCCATCACCACAGCTGTCTATTTCCAGGGCCCCCAAACTCCATTCCTGGGCCATGTGAACTCACAGACATCTTCAAGAAGCGGGGTGCCGTACCCTTCCTATCCTATCCCAGAAGGCCTGTCCCTTCTTGTGCATCACCTCATGCTATACCTGGCTGGCCTCTCACCTCTATTCCCAGAGCCTCAGTGAACCTGCCCACCATTCATTCATTAATCAACATAAAACATGACTCGTATGCATGTGCCAGGCAGAGGGGATACCCTCTCCAGACAGTCTCCTGCTAGGGCTCATGGCCTAGTAGAGGAGACAGATTAAAAATTAATTAGAAAAATTGGCTAGGCACAGTGGCTCACACTTGTAATCCCATCCTTTGGGAGGCCAACGTGGGTGGATCACCTGAGGTCAGGAGTTCGAGACCAACCTGGCCAAAATGGTGAAACCCCGTCTCTACTAAAAATACAAAAATGAGCTGGGCGTGGTGGCGCGTGCCTGTAATCCCAGCTACTCGGGAGGCTGAGGCAGGAGGAGAATTACTTGTACCCAGGAGGTGGAGGTTGCAGTGAGCCGAGATCATGCCACTGCACTCCAGCCTGGGTGACAGAACGAGACCCCATCTCAAAAGGAAAAACGAATTACACACCATGATGGAGGCTGCTGAGAACACCATAACGAATTCAAAGTCGAGGCCTGTGGGATGGGAGGGGCACTGCTTTATTCATGCCTATTTTTAAATGCTCCTGGAGGCATCTAGGCATTTAGATCAGTCTAAATATAGCTCCATTCAGTTTGTGCAAACGACATTTATTGGGCAGTACCCGTCTGTGTAACACCCAGAGAACACGTCCATGGAGGGGCCCATGGTCCCGACAGCAAATGTGGTAAGAAGGTCCATAGAGCCGGGGTTCTCAGGCTTTAGGGGCTCTTGCGTCACTTGGGACAGGCTGATTAGTGGGTCTGGGTGGGCGATTCCCAGGTGATTATAAGACTGTGCTGAAAAATAGAGCTCTCAGGGATTTGGCCTGCAGGGTCAAAGCATGATGTGCGTGTGGCAATCAACGCAGGCCTCCCAGAAACCATCCCAGGATAGAAACTCTTTGGACGTCACTGTCTTTTTCTTCTTAGTTGGAGCAGCATGCTGGAGGCTGTCCTGGGGTGGAGTGTGAGACTTCGTGCTATTTAAATCCTTTTGCACTTGACCTTTTTTTTTTTTTGAGACGGAGTTTCGCTCTTGTTACCCAGGCTGGAGTGCAATGACGTGATCTCGGCTCACCACAACCTCCGCCTCCTGGGTTCAGGCAATTCTCCTGCCTCAGCCTCCTGAGTAGCTGGGATTACAGGCACGCACCACCATGCCCAGCTAATTTTTTGTACTTTATTAGTAGAGACGGGGTTTCACCATGTTGACCAGGATGGTCTCCATCTCTTGACCTCGTGATCCACCTGCCTCAGCCTCCCAAAGTGCTGGGATTACAGGCGTGAGCCACCGTGCCCGGCTGCACTTGACCTTCTGCTTAGTGGAGTGATCATTTGCCATCGGCTCACTTTCAGTGGAGCTTCAGAGACATCTGGTTTGGGTAGTTTTATGGCCACCATGGATATCTTGTCAATGCAGGATTGGGTCTTTCCTTCCACCCTTTCATTCATTTGTTTTTGACAAATAGTGTTAAATGTTTATCATGTTCCAGGCACTGTGTGAAGCTCTGAAAATACAGGGGCGAGCAAATCCAGATATCCTCCCTGCCCTCATGAAGCTTGCAGTCTATGAGGTAGGACCCCTCCAACCCATGGAGAAGCCAGCAATCAGTACAGGGTAGCCTGGGGCCAGAGACAGGGCAAATGTCACCCCCTGCCTCCATGAGAAACCATCACTGGGCATGTTGTGTTCAAGAACATGGTTTACACCCCTGGGGCTAACAGGATGTTGCTACCCAAGCTCATAGAGGAAGTTGAATGTTAAGTTCCCTCGAAACTTTCTACCTTGGTGGCTTTTCTGTAATTTTCTGGTAGTCACGATGGAAACAAAGTACCTTAGAACCAGAGATCAACTTCCAAGCAATACAGGAATTCCCTTCACAAAAAATGTCAGGGCTGGCCAGGTGCGGTGGCTCACGCCTGTAATCCCAGCACTTTGGGAGGCTGAGGTGGGTAGATCACAACGTCAGGAGTTCAAGACCAGCCTGGCCAAAATGGTGAAACCCCGTCTCTACCAAAAAGACAAAAATTAGGTGGACTTGATGGCGGGCACCTGTAATCCCAGCTACTGGGGAGGCTGAGGCAGAGAATCACTTGAACCCTGGAGGCGGAGGTTGCAGTGAGCCAGGATCGTACCACTGCACTCCAGCCTGGGCCACAGAGTGAGACTGCTGTCTCAAAACAGACAAAAAACCAAAACGCCAGGGCTACGTGAGTATCTTGTTGCATGCAGTCTGAAATGATCCTGTGGATTTTCCCGGCTGGCTGCCACTACTGTACAACATTCAGTGCCCGCACCCACCTGTGCCATGAAGGTTTTCTGAGGCATGAGTGATGCTTCTACCCTGCTGTATGACATGCATTTGGGAAGTGGGAAGGAGACCACGACATCAGGGAGAAAACATCCAACCTTCTTCCCTGTAGGCATAATCAGCCCCCTCTTGGTGCTTACAACCAGCTGTTCAAGAGCAGTAACAACAAGATTAGTCAACATCCAGGAAGCAAATATTAGGACCAAAGAGAGCATCAACTGCATTTGAAGGAACTGTAGTTTGCGCATTTTATGACATTTTTATAAAGTACTGTAATTCTTTCATTGAGGGGTTATGTGATGGAGACAGACTAACTCATTTTGTTATTTGCATTAAAATTATTTTGAGTCTCTGTTCCAATGAGTTTGGAGAATGCTTGACTTGCTGGTCTGTGTGAACGTGTGTACATATACCTGAATACAGGGACGTCAGAGACCGCCTCACTCCCACACACTCTGCTCTAGTTTTCAGGCTTTTGTGCACATCCCTCATGAACAGGCTGAAGTTCTAGAACACTCTGTGTTCGCTGATGATGAGAAACCTAGAACTTCAGGCCTGTTTGTAAACACATGAGACACAGTGGCCTAGATAGAAGCTGTATCATAGTTTAAAATCTGCCTTGGGGGGTATTACTAAACTCACTAATAGTTTAAAGGTTACTGATGATAGAGCAAGTTGGACAATTTCATGGTGTTGGGGAAATGCTAGGGCAAGGCCTAGAGGTTGACTTTGAATTTTGGTTTGGGGAGAAATGTGATTTTAGGGCAGTTAGAAACCTTCTACTTAATGTACCTTTAAAATAGTCCATTTTCTATGTTTTGTATAATCTGAAACTGTACATGGAAAATAAAGTTTAAAACCAGATTACCTAGAGCAAGACTCAAATGTTGCCAACGGTGATGACATCTAGGGGAGAGAGCTGCCATTTTGGGTGGCAGGGGGTCAGTCGATTTCTCATCAAGATCACAATGGACGGTTTTTACAGCGAGCAATTGGTAAATGGACAATTTGTCACTGGACAATCTCTGCTGCTTTAATGGGGCTGGCTTTGCCGCCCTGCGGACTGTAGCCACGCGCAGTTCCATGCAAATAAGGGCCGCATGCTTGGGAGAATGATCTGCTAGTGTCACTTTAAATGACTTTATATCTGTATATTTCTTGTAGAGACACAGTCTTACTATGTTGCCAACGCTGGTCTAGAACTCCTGGCCTCGAGCAATCCTCCTGCCTCAGCCTCCCAAAGTGCTGGGACTGCAGGTGTGAGCCTCTCCCTGTGTCCGGCATAAAGTAGAACATTCTTACAAGAAATAAATGTTTCTTAGTCATGGTGGAGAATGCTCCTAAAATTTATGTATTTGTTCATCCATCCATTCATTCATTCGTTCTTTTATAGAAGGGGCTCTCTCACTATGTTGCCTATGCGGGTTTTTTTTTCTTTGAGACGGAGTTTCGCTCTTGTTACCCAGACTGGAGTGCAATGGCGCGATCTCGGCTCACCGCAACCTCCGCCTCCTGGGTTCAGGCAATTCTCCTGCCTCAGCCTCCTGAGTAGCTGGGATTACAGGCACGCGCCACCATGCCCAGCTAGTTTTTTGTATTTTTAGTAGAGACGGGGTTTCACCATGTTGACCAGGATGGTCTCGATCTCTCGACCTCGTGATCCACCCGCCTCGGCCTCCCAAAGTGCTGGGATTACAGGCTTGAGCCACCACGCCCGGCCCCATGCG